TGTGTGTGTGTGTGTGTGTGTGTGTGTGTGTGTGTGTGTGTGTGTGTGTGTGTGTGTGTGTGAGTACCGTGGTGTATTTTCCCAGCTGACAGAGGGAGGGGAATGTATCCTGATGGGCCCGGCGAACTCGTTCGATCATCTGCTCCGTGTCTGCTGACAGGACGTAGAGCTCTGTGTCGGGCTGCTTCTTCTCTTCCTTCTTCTTCTTTGTTCGGTCATTTCGTACCACTTGGAATGGAAATGAAGATGAGAGGATTTAGCTGAGAACATTCAGCCCCATGAAGAATGTGCAATCCACCGTAAGACGTCGGACATCTGAAATACTTCCTCGTTAATATAAGACTGAAGCCTGCAGCCACTTCACTTAGCACATGGACTGGAAACAACTAGCCTGGAGACTGTTTCACGAATTAGCCCTAAAAGTCCTAAAGTATTAAGTTTCTTTTTATTTGCAGATTGACTCAACACTAAACGGGGGTTCATGTCTCAAACTGCTGCTTACTGTTAACACCACTCTCTTTTTTAACAGGAAGCAAAATCTGCCAAACAGCATCTGTTCCAGACCAGGGTAAGGGAAAGTTTTCCTCTTCATGAAATAAATGAGTATAATCACATCTACTACATTCATACTGACTTGATTCTTGGTTCACACGCTGTGCATTATGAAATTATATGAAAAAGCAGCCAGCATAGACATGCAGGAGCACTAAAGCTTTCAGGGCTATGTGTTAACTAGGAACGACCACCAGAGGGAGACAAACAACAAGGTTAGAATACAGCACTGAGGCCCAGGAGTCAGGAAAAGTCTTTCCCCATAAACACAACCTCCCCTGTACCCTGTGTAAGTGCTTCCTATCTAATATTCACATAAGTCTGAAATGCAGGGATTGAAGCACCGACCTTCTGATTAGTAGCTGACCAACTCTACCTCCTGAGTCACAGCCACCCCAAACTGCAAGACCTCTAAGCAACTTAAAGCATTTGCCTGCTTAAGAAGCTCTCTTTCCTTCACACACCCACAAAAATCAACCTGCACCCGTACTCACGCTCTTTAGACATGCCCACATCCAGGCACTTCTGCAGTCGACATGACTGACACCGGTTCCTCGTCACTTTGTTGATGACACAGACTTTGTCCCGGTGGCACGTGTACACCATGTTCTTCTGGATGCTCCTCCGAAAGAAACCCTGACAGAGAGAAACAGATGTTGAGAAAAAGGGTAACAGAAAGCGCTGTGAGCGTGTGCAGGAGCTGGAACTGGAATGAAAAGTGCAGAATTATTTCAACTGTAACAAGTGTAATCCTGAAGTGACTCATTCAGCTGATGGGCTGCTGGGCGGAGGTCTAACAGAACATGAGTCTGACCACAAGCACATCAAAGCACACACACACACATCTATATCAAAGCAGACACTTATTGCACAGACAGATCCTTTGTGTGTCTCTACAGGATTAGATGAAGCCAAGAGGCTTAGAGATCCTCGGGTGGCATAAAGGTCGTGACCTCTTTGCTGACACTTTCTGCAAATACTCTGAGGTCTCTTGCTCTACATGCTGCCCTTTTAAGTCGGCTTTCAAACTGTAGCTGAAGTTTTATGGTCCAGAAGGAGCACTGTG